CATTACAGGCAATAAACCTCCTAGTAATTGGCCAGGGTGAAATAAATATTCATAACCCATAACATTATATCTTCCTGTTCTATTCACAGAAGAACATTCCCCAGGAGCAGGCAGAAATAAATAATGTTCAAGGCTTGGAGGAAACCCAACAAATGCAGGAACAAAAACACAAAAAAACTAAAATTGTACTTACAGGATCTATACCTCTATTTACACCTGAGACTGATATCTCCAGATGCTTATGTCAGTGTTCACCAGACATGACTATCATTTGAATTTAGGCCTATTAGAATCTACATAGAATTTAAATTTGGAGGCCTTACTACTTTATTCCAAACGTTTACATTTACTAGAGAAGATATTAAAGTAGATCTATCATTAAAATTCACATATTGCTTTAATCAACATATCAGTATAACCAAATCACATTTGTATCTGGAGAAAAAAACGTAAATTTTTCTTGCCCTAAAAGAAAAATACTCCTGAGATCCCTCCTGTGACCGTAAGCCTAGGTAGAAGATCACATGGTCTTTGGATACCAGGATTGGTTTTGTGTTTCATGGCAATAGCGGTGGCAGACATTCTATTTTGTTCCACCTGATGGACAGTGAGATAAAAGGGTCAGATGAACTGGCCTGTGGGCTTAACAAAAAAAAAAAACTAACCTATCCCTCCATCCACGCTATACAGTGCAGCTGGACGAATCTACCGGGGCAGCTAAAGAGTTCTGACAGCTGACTGTCAAACTACCCAAACAGCACCTGCATCTGATTGGATACAACCGTTGTTTGCCTGACTTCTTTGATTTATCAATCGGAGGATATTGGTTGGGAGGTGGCTGACAGGGCCACCCACCAAGTGAGTTTCAGCCCAAATTCACACAGTGTAAGGCCAGATCAAGTCAAACAAATATCAAAATTTTAAACTTTTAACCCTCATTGGTAGCATTGATGTTTTAAAACATTTTATAGTATAGAGTGTTTAAATCCCCAATTGAGTTTGGGGTTGGGAAGTTTTCTTTTCACTTCCTGTCCCAGAGATACAACGAGAAATGAGTGCCAATTTCTCTTAAGTGGGGAAAAATCCACTCCTAGACAGCTGTCATCAGAATCAGTGTCCCCATCTGGAAGATTTTTCGTAACTTTCTGTTTATTGTTTACTGTCCAAGTAATAGGAGATTTCTAATTCTATTACTGTTGCCAAGATGCAGAAGGGAAAGGAAATCTCTCCAAAGCAAAGGGAATTCCTCCTCTAGATTTGTTTAGAGTTGTCACCGTAACAGGCATTTCCATGGAAGATTGACCCTCACCTGCTGTTTTGGTGACAACTGTAAAATTTTTGATTTCCCATTACTTTCTTTCCCTGTAGTAATGGTCACCTGGTGAAATAGAGAGAAAGAATCTCCACAAAGGGGACACAGCAATAAAAACCTGAATGAGATTCTAACTCCTCACGCTATTTAAAATTTAAATACAAGTTTGAATACAAAGGTTTTGGTTTTAGATATACTTTTAGTTGATCATTACAGTGTCAGGAATACCCGTGGGGAACATGCTTTTTGTATAGCTATACTCTTGTATCATCAACTGATCATTCAGTGCTTTACATAATATATACACAGTCCTTGCCCCCAAAGGACCTCACAAGTTAATGTCCCTACAAAGCATACATTGGATGTAACCTAGCGGTAAACAGTATGTTGCATTGTGTGGAAACAGCCCACAAGCAACTTCTACAAACAGGACAGAATACATACTTCATTAAAAAAGTGTCAGCCAAGAATGCTAACAACTTGAAAAGGTAGTTGCACTGTGCAAGGGAATATTACCCAGAACTTAGTGAATGTTGAAAATTTTTACTTTACAAGGAACACCCATCACAAGCAATGCAAATGAAGAAACAGCATTTTTGTTTGCATATGATTGGATGATAGAAGTCAGCAGAGCTTAACCTCATTGACTAAGCTCTGGGGAAAATTCCCTTGCAAAGTGCAACTACCCTTGCAAATGAACAGTCTATTTGTCTATAGCAAATCAACTCCTATGTGTCTTTGAATTCATTGACATCTGCTCCTCTAATTTACCAAAGTCTTTTAATTTCCAGTAGTTTTTTTTTAAGTTTTGGATAGACTTAGGAAGAGTAATTACTTTAGTCATGTAAATACTGATCAAGCAGGGAATGATTAGAACTTGTGGTCAAGTTTTATTGGTGTCTGTGTCCCTGGTGGGGAGATTCACCTTCTCGATTTGCCCTGAAAACAGTCATCCCTAAGACAGAAAATGAGTGAACGTCCAAAATTTTACACTTGCCACTAGGACAGGAAATGAGGAGAAATCTTCCAATAGGGACAGTTGTTCTGGTGATGATTGTGCTGGACGGATTTCCACTCGCTTTGAAAAGGTTTCCATAAAAAATTTTTTTGTATCATTGTAACTGGAAGTGAAGCTCCCTAAGAACTGTTGTGCAAAACAAAAATAACTTATAGGTTAGACATACACTTTAACATTCTATTATGGTTGCAAAATATATATCTTGGACCCCACTGTGATGCCCAGGTCTTCATTGTAGGTTAGACCGTTGGTTCTCAACTTTATTGAGACCAGGTTCTGGTAAATTCTTCCAAAACCTTTCATGCTCCGATATTAAAAAAAAAAAAAAACAGTTTATACTCACACAATAAAAACATGAGACTACAAAATATGTATCGAAAAGCAGGAAGACTCTGGATGGGGCTAGGTGTCACTTTGGAGGAACTGGTGTTCTGGAGGAAGTTAGTGGACTTTGTAGCAGGCTTGGTGGCCCCTAAGGGATGAGGTTTCTGGATCTAGCTGGGGAAACTGTGGGGAATGTGGTCTCTATAGGTGGCTTGGAGCTTTACAGGGGCACTAAGAGGGGTTAGAGAAGCACTGCAGAAAGCTAGTGGTACTGCAAGGTGCTGGGTGGTACTGTGGATAGTTAAGGAGCCCTGTAGGCCACTATGGGAGGTTTACAGACACTATGCAAGCTGGATGCCACTTTGAGAGGTTAGGGGATCTCCAACTAGCTGGAGACCCATAAGGAGGGAGGCCACAGACTGGTGGTTTCGAACCACAGGATTAGTCAATAATCATCAGCAAATATCACATATAATGTTAGCATATTGATCTTTAGTTGCATTAGGTGAGATGTAAAGCAACCTGAAAAATATTATATTTGCGTTGATGAGACACAAGAAACAGAGGAAGGCTAAACTTTCGTACATTGGGATTGTCTTTCTCTACAAACCGATGATGTTCCCACAATACGAGGCACCTGCAGCGTGTCTGTTACAGCTATACAGCCTAGAGATGTGCCTCTGCTACAGTCATCTAATCAGAGACAGCTTTCACAATTGACACCGAAGTGGGAAATGATTACCAACGAAGCCAGAATCATTTAAAGATCATCTTGAGGAATCCCTGCCAAAAGCTGAGATTTATATTTTTGGTTCAGGGGAAAACAGAAACTTCAGTTTTGTCTGTGTGCTTAACACTTAGGACAGAATTTGTATTTTCTCACAGTCAATTCTGCCAACCAGGAATTTCAAGAGCTCCAGAGAAATAAATAAAACCGGGGTTAGTTTACTTGTGTATTCCTCCCAAAGACTAAAAATCATTTTTCTTAGTTCAGTTAGTGTTATTATTCACAATCTCTTATTTACTGAAGCTGGATTCACACCTAGGTGCTATGGTATAATGGGTGGTATAATACCTATGGCATGTTATTGTAACACATGGCTCACTGTGTGGTGCCATTATGTGTGATGACAAACCCGCACTACAGCACATGGTATGCGAATTGTCATATGGCTGTGAGCAGCTAGCCAGGTGCGAAAGATTTAAAGGGAACAACTGATTCAACTCCTTTAAAATAAAGTTCTTTGGCAACTTTCAGATCCCCAGCTCTGCCACAAGATGGTGCTACACTTTCAGACTGACCCTGCAGCCTCATGAGACATGTGATATGTCCCAGAAGGTTGCGGGCAGGGAGAGGATAAGATCTAACTTCTGAATCTCACCATAATGAGAAATGTGAAAGTGGGAGTGGGTACCTGTCAGAAAAAGATACCCACTCCTAGAAACAAAAACCTTCAATAATGGTGGGGGAAGGGAGGAGGAGGATGAGTGTAACTTTTACTGTGACTGTGTACAGCAAGGCACATAAGCACAAGACAGTTCAAGAATGCAGGGCTTATATACAGTAGACACAGAGCTAACTGCAGAGGTGTCCATGAACATCCCTATCCTGTCCCTACTCGACAGGAACCTGTCCTTAATACTAGGCCTAACTCTTCCTCACAAGTGGGTTTCAGTCCCTGTCTGTGCTTTTCCGTACTGTGGGTTCCACCATAGCGACCCAGCAAGGGCTATATATAATCCCTTATGAGTTCAGGATGGCCACCCAAATCTCAAGAGAACTCTGTGTCCAAGAGACTCTCCCAAGATGGGGCCTGGAGCCCATGGCAGAGGACACATTGGTCCTATGGCAGACTTTCCTCTAGGCCCTGCCTACACAGTGCATTAAATAGTGTAGCTCTGGTTTTAGTATCATTAATGAACCACAACAGATTGGGATAGTGTGAAGGGGAGTTGTCACAACATGCAGAAGGAACTTCATGGATAGACCATCATGACCTCAAACTAGCAGAAATTATTTTTGTAGTTCATATAGTTGAGTAGTTGATGCTTGGAATAGACTTCCGGAAGAGGTTGTGAATCAGTCCAAAGCAAGTAAATTCAATCATGCTTGGAAGAAACATTATATATTTATCATTTATTACAGGTACTTATACAGCATCATCAATTCATGCAGCACTTTACATATAAACAATGGTATTATGGTAATAGTTATAAATATTTTGAATAGTAACAAATGCCTCTTTTTAGAGATTGTATATTTAGCATATAAATACATGATTGATTTATCTAACCTTGGATATTTATTATGATCCATCTAATGTTCAATATGTCTTTGTTTCTTAGGTCTGTGACTCGGATACTGTGCTTGATCCGGCATCATCTGTGGAGATGGTGAAGGTTTTGGAGGAAGATATCATGGTTGGAGGTGTTGGAGGAGATGTGCAGGTAAACACTTCAACTTAGAAATTGATTTTTCATCACAGAGATTTATTATGATATAGTTAAAAATTCCAACAAACTGCTCTTAATTGAAACACACACACAGATCCATAGCTCTACTGAAGCCTGGCCTCTTTTGCACATGGACAACCTAGGTGGCAGCCATAGAAGTCTGTCTCCACTCTCCCCTGAGAATATGAAAGAATTTCAAACGCATTTAGCTCTTTTTGCACTATTTTTTAGTAATCAATTAATTGATTGTATACAGCAATATCTCCACCCAAAAACCAACATTTCTTAACGCATTTCACCACTCTCCATTGAGGATATGAAAGAATGTCAGCCGCATTCCACCCAGCTGTTCTTGCTGTATTTTTTAATAATTGACTGAATACAGCGATATCTCAACCTAAAAATGTATCTTTCTTAACGCGTTTCAGCACTGCTTGATTGCTCACAAGGATAGGGACTTCCCCTGTCCTTGTGAGCAAGCCAGGAGTGGTGAAACATATCAAGGAAGGTTGGTTTTTGGGTGGAGATATTGCTGTATGCAGTCAATTCATTGATTAGCAAAAAATACTGCAAGAAGAGCTAAGTGAAGTGTGGCTGACATTCTTTCATATGCTGTTAATTGAACTTACATTTTGCCCTTTCATGCCATAGTCTGGTTTGTTTAAAGTGTATGTCCAGTGCAGTTTTGGACCTCTTGCACACAAATGCCTAAAACACCACTTTTTAAACATTCAGGCATTTGTTTTTACTGATCTAAATACAGCCCATTGATTTTTTTTTGGGCCCGTACACAGGCGCATAAATGATCGTATACTGCATATAAATCAGTAAAAAAAAAAAAAAATTTGTGTTGTTTGTACAGTATTTTACACACATACACATGTATATGCACATATGACACACCACAAGAAAAATTAGAAGAATCTTACACACCTACACGTATGCACAAAAATGTGCATTTACTATACACTTCAACCTTTTGTTTTTAGGCAGGATATTTGTGCCAGAAATCTGATGTTCACACATTAGTACTATATGCAAGTACCCTTGGTTTTCAATAGAGTAGGAATGAATTAGGACTCTTGTCAGGTGTTTCCTGCTCTTTGGGGCTCTGGCAGAGAAATCTCCCCTTCTTCACTGTCCCGGTGGTAACGGTTTTAACAGACAGGAAATGAGGGAAAATCTTTTTTATTGCTGAACATTTCCTCTTACTATACTCACCGCTTTCCCAACAAAACCCATGTATCCTTAGGGCATTGTCTTAAAAGCATCTGCAGTTTGTTTGTTTTTTAAAGCTGAACCACACCAGCCTGGTACAGTTGTACTGTCATTTTTATTTAAAAATTGATGAGGGGAGAATAAGAAACCAGGGAAGGCAACAAAAGCAGATTAAAAGTCAACTCTAAAGCCTAGTACACACACAACAGAAATCATGCAAAAAATACTGTGTCCGAAGCAATTGTACATTAATGTGATTGTTAGTACACAGCTTCCGTGATCAGGATAGGTCATGCTAAATTATCCAAAGGGACAAGCACGAACATATTTCTTGTATACCAGATCGTACGATTTTTGTTTAAGCAGAACAGTTTTCGCCCGCAAATACAGTACAAATACAATACAATACATTACATCTACATACATCACTTCATACATCGTACTTCGTACATTGTTGTAAGAGAATTTTCATAACTTTAGTAACCTCATTTTTGATATGAAGCCTACCATGCAAAACAAACCGGACAATCATTTGTCCGATATTCTCATTGTGTGTACGGGGCGTAAGGTGTATGACCATCCCAAACTGTACAATTATCAGCTTTTATTTATTTATGTAAAACCTTTATCCCAAAAGAAAAAAACTGCTGTAACTGCTTATAAAGTATTAGATGGAGTTTGGCTTCAATTTGTTAATGTATTTAAATGTGCTAGTATATCTAAAGTTCCCCTCCCCCCAGACTGACAATGCTGTTGTATGTTTTTGCCCTCTGTGCTCCTCCATCCAGAATGGGGGCATTCTAATACAGAATGTGTGGCCAGATCACCAGGTGAAAACATTCTAAAAAAGAAAATGAATACAGTCACCATATCTAATGATTGGTAGGCTAATATATTACATTTTGGGTTTGGGTTTAATACCAGTTTAAGCTTATTTAATAAAGAACTATAAAGAGATAATATAATTAAGTACAAATTTACGTGCATTACCCCTCAAGCAGCCAACCAAAATTATTTTATTGTACATCAGATACTATTTTATTGTAAATCAGATAAGTGAAGTGTGGATGCTGCATCTGGTTTTGGCACCTTACAAAAACCAGATGAAAAAACCCTTTGTACATTGCACTTTACCACACTGAATGAACCCAAGCTTGACAGAATACAGTTGCCGAATTTTACTATTATATAGATTTATTTACTTGACCCGGCAGACATCTTTCTTCTATAGGGACGTCTGCATGTAACCCAGCCAGACAGCGCTGCTTGTCCCTTCCCAAAGTTTCTTGCTGGTTTTGGCTAATTCCATCCCTTTGAAAGTAATACCTCCTTGTAGTCACTTGGATGACATGGGGCTCCACGAAATGCTAATTTATGACTTTCCTGAGGACTGGCAGGAAGTGCAGCTCTGCTACAGCAGCAGTTGTGCTTTTACAATTAAAGTAAAATATGAGCAATGGAGGAGAAAGACTTAAGATCTTCCTTTTGATGTTCAGCTCACTGCCCTATTGTTCCTTGTCCCCATACATATAATTTACCCTCCTCAAGATGATTTCAACCAAGAGTAATTATTCCTGCATTAAATCTCCTCTATTTAGCTTGGCACTGTACACTTCCTTTGTGTATTTTCTGTATATTTTAATTATTGTATGATTAGTATGATTGTATCAGGAATGCAGAAAGGGTTTGCAACACAAATGATAACTACAAAAAAAATTAAACTTTCTTTCTTTCTTTCTCTTTTCTCTCTTCTCTCTTTTTCTCTCTTTCTCTCTTTCTTTCTTTCTTTCTTTCTTTCTTTCTTTCTTTCTTTCTTTCTTTCTTTCTTTCTTTCTTTCTTTCTTTCTTTCTCTCTTCTTTCTGTTTCTTTCCATACCACTTGTTTTTTCTTTTATGTTTCTTTCCTTTTTTTCTTTCTTCCCATGTAAGTAACTATTCTCAGTTGCTACAATAGAAGTGGCCATAAATGAAACTTCTCTTGCCACCAGAGCCCAGGTACCTTACAAGATTAACAAATACATACAAAGGTAGACATCTTGCCCCCCCAACCACAGCCAGCTGAATATCCAGTACTGGAATAATATTGGACAATCCCCTTAAAAGTGATAGACACTTAGATATTGGGTGGTCTCAACAACACGTGCTGGGAGCTTCACACCCAATGTAGACATGAGGTTTGCCTGATACAATTCTTTGTAATGTCTCCTCAGCTTCTTCAAGATTCACAGATTTGATATCATCTATGTAGGATTTTTTGTATTGCTGTATGCACATTGAACATAAGTTCTAAATAATTTAGATGAATGTATTCTTAGTACCAAAATCTATAGATTTAAGTTTAATTTAAGTTTGCAGCAGAATTTAGCAATTTCTTCTTAACTTGGTATTTATTTTATCACTAAACAATGCCATGTTTTGTTTTCTGGCAGATTTTAAACAAATATGACTCGTGGATTTCCTTCTTGAGTAGTGTGAGATACTGGATGGCCTTCAACATCGAGAGAGCGTGTCAGTCCTACTTTGGGTGTGTTCAGTGCATCAGTGGACCACTAGGAATGTACAGAAATTCACTACTACATGAATTTATAGAAGACTGGTACAATCAAGAATTTTTGGGCTCCCAGTGTAGCTTTGGAGATGACAGGCATCTATCTAACCGGGTATTGAGCCTTGGCTATGCAACCAAATATACAGCACGGTCTAAGTGCCTTACGGAAACACCTACTGAGTATCTAAGGTGGCTTAACCAGCAGACTCGCTGGAGCAAGTCTTACTTCCGGGAGTGGCTGTACAATTCTATGTGGTTCCACAAGCATCATCTATGGATGACCTATGAAGCTGTGATTACCGGATTTTTTCCTTTCTTCTTAATTGCAACAGTCATTCAGTTGTTCTACAGGGGACGTATATGGAACATTTTACTCTTCCTGTTAACTGTGCAGTTTGTTGGCCTTATCAAGTCTTCCTTTGCCAGCGCGCTCCGGGGCAACATAGTAATGGTTTTCATGTCTCTTTACTCAGTCCTGTACATGTCCAGTTTATTACCAGCAAAGATGTTTGCCATCGCCACCATCAACAAGGCTGGGTGGGGCACTTCAGGTAGAAAAAACTATCGTCGTCAATTTTATAGGATTGATTCCTATAACCGTTTGGTTTACAATCCTCTTGGGTGGAGTCTTCTACACTATATGGAGGGAAACAAGAAAGCCATTTGCAGAATCTGAACAGACGGTTCTCATCATTGGTGCAATACTTTATGCGTGCTACTGGGTGATGTTGTTGACTTTGTACGTGGCTCTGATTACAAAGTGTGGCAGGCGGAAGAAAGAACAGCAATATGACATGGTACTTGATGTATGATGATCACTTACCTACAAAGTGTGCAAACCTATTAGACATTTTGAAAAAAGAAATCCTTACTAAACTTAGAATTCCTAGAAGTATTATGGACATGAAGTCATGTCTTGAAGGGAAATGCAACACTGCTGCTGGGACTTAAACAAACACTAATTGTGACTCGTTGTCATGCATCCAAAGCAAAAAAGTTTTAGAAAAAGTTCAAAAAAATGAACAACTTTAAACCAGGCCTTGCCTTGTTTTGGTGAAGCCATTTTATTATGCACTTTTTTTTGATTGTGCATATGCCTGACAGTGTTATGTTCTGTATACCTCACTGGTCATGCTTATGTCGTGGTGAACAAAGCCTTCTGAAATATTTTTAGGCCTACAGGATCTTTTCTAAATGTATATTTTTCCTCTGGAAAAGTTCCTTGAAAGTGGGCCAATCGGCTCTAGCAATAAAGGACAACCTTATTTATAAACTGTTTTTTAAAGTTCTTTTTTAATTTTATTTTATTTTATAGTTTTTTTTTTTTGTTTTAGGGATGGCCCTGTGGCCATCAATTTATAAATGTCATGCGTGCTTTAAGTACAAGCACGGTGGAATGCTGTATTTTTATATTATTGAATTAATTATGTTTTTTATTTGTATGCCAATGTTTAAAAAAATGCATATTTTATATTTTACTTATCCGATAAATAATTTGGTTCTCTATTCTTTTCAAAAATGTGTTTTTTAATTTTTTTTATTTTAACTGATACTGGTCAAAATGTGAAGCTTTATAACAGTTCATATTGTTCACCAACAAATGAATAAAATAATTATTTGTACTTTAACCTCTGAATCGATTTATTCCATCATGAAGTGATAACATGAACAATGCTTTATCTAGGATGTCTTTATATGTGAAATGCTTTCTTTCCAGTCTATAATATCAGAAATATACGGGGTTCCTACTATATTTATAATAAATACCCTAAATGCACATAAACACTTTTCACCCCAAAAAGTGTATGAATCAAATATAAAGTGCTGATTGCTATAAATAAACACTGTACTCATAAATCATAATACCTATAATACAGGGGCGGACTGACCATTTGGAAACTCGGGCACTGCCCGAGGGCCCGGGGTCAGTAGGGGGTCCCATGAGATGCCCCTGTTACCTTTTTCAAAGGCTTTTTTCAGTTTGGGCAAGGACACAGGGGCCCCATGATCCCCTATTGCCCAGAGGCCCCATGAGTTGTCAGTCCGCCCTTGATATAATATAAAGAGTTCGATAAGAATCCTTAATAAATAGTAAATGTCCAAAATAAATAGTCCTAAAAAGAAACAGTCCACAGAATAACTTCCAGCAAAATGATAATTCCAAAGTGTTTCTGGAGATCAGACCTCAAAGGAAAGAGAACTCACATAGTGTAATACCATAAATATACACGGGATCAAAAGAACATCACTGCAAACGCATGCGAATCACACTAAACCACACGTCATCACTAATAAAGGTGAGTATTAGTGTGAACTTGTGCGTGAGAACACTAGTGACACTTGCATGCAGTGTTCATACTGTGAAAGATGTGTCCACTTCTAAGTATAAGGATTAAATACCCTTACCAGAGCGTGGATTTAAACCAGCATGTAAAAATCCCAATCAAGAGACCACCTTGTGGATTCAGCAAATGGAACAATATTCCTCCATCCATACATAGCTTCACTCAATGCCACTGAACAGGCTATAGTGGTGCAGTTCATAAAGACTCATCCAATACTACTTCTCTGTAAGCAATTGATTCTAGATAATGCCACCAAAACCTGGCAATGATAAGCTCACCAGTAACCAGATAAACTTTATTGAATAACAAAAGTCATATAAAAACAGCCAGACCCTCTGCAGATCCTTAGGAGTGCTCCTACTACGTTCCTGAATGAGGATTCCAGGATCCAAGATGGCCGTCCGGTAACTTCCGGCTATGCTACGCGTCTTGACGTCACTTCCCTTTGACGCGTTTCGTCACCTGACTTATTCATAAAGGAAACCCTTTATGAATAAGTCAGGTGACAAAACGCGTCAAAGGGAACCCTTTATGAGTAAGTAAGGTGACGAAATGCGTCAAAGGGAAGTGATGTCAAGACGCACAGCATAGCCGGAAGTTACCGTACGGCCATCTTGGATCCTGGAATCCTCATTCAGGAACGTAGTAGGAGCGCTCCTAAGGATCTGCAGAGGGTCTGCCTGTTTTTATTGCTTTTTTATATGACTTTTGTTATTCAATAAAATGTATCTGGTTACTGATGAGCTTATCATTGCTGGGTTTTGGTGGCATTATCCAGAATCAATTGCTTACAGAGAAGTAGTATTGGATGAGTCTTTATGAACTGCACCAATATAGCCTGTTCAGTGGCATTGAGTGAAGCTATGTATGGATGGAGGAATATTGTTCCATTTGCTGAATCCACAAGGCGGTCTCTTGATTGGGATTTTTACATGCTGGTTTAAATCCACGCTCTGGTAAGGGTATTTAATCCTTATACTTAGAAGTGGACACATCTTTCACAGTATGAACACTGCATGCAAGTGTCACTAGTGTTCTCATGCACAAGTTCACACTAATACTCACCTTTATTAGTGATCACGTGTGGTTTAGTGTGATTCGCATGCGTTTGCAGTGATGTTCTTTTGATCCCATGTATATATTATGGTATTACACTATGCGAGTTCTCTTTCCTTTGAGGTCTGATCTCCAGAAACACTTTGGAATTATCATTTTGCTGGAAGTTCTTCTGTGGACTGTTTGGAGGACTATTTTTTTTGGACATTACTATTTATCAAGGATTCTTATCGAACTCTTTATATTATATGTATTATGATTTATGAGTACATTGTTTATTTATAGCAATCAGCACTTTATATTTGTTTCTTTCCAGTCTGTCACTTCCTTTTAGGGCTTGTTCACATGGACTTCAGTTTAAGAGAAAAGAAAGATAGAGAATGGAAAACGTTAGCAAAGCTTTTACAATGGTTACAGCAAGCTTTGAGCTTCTTCGTTGAGCAAATTTCAGCTCCATTCCATTGAGGTATAAAGTATGTTAAAAAAAACCCTTAAAGTGGAATTATACTATAATAACTTGATCAAAAATAATGTTCTGTAGCAAGGAACATACATTCTGCCTTAATAGTTATTCTACCAAAATGAGCATGTGTTGTAAATTGCCTCCAGCATTGTTCCTGCTTCTTCTTGATGGAGGCTGCCATTTTGCTGAAGCCCAGAGCCCCTGAGCAACAGGAAAACTTTAGGCTGTCAGCAGATTGGCCTCTAAATTTTTCAGCACAGTTCCTATAAATAAAGAGCAACTGAGCATGTGCAGAGCAGGGTGAGGCAGTGCATTAATGGATTTTAAACAGTATAGGCACTTATCTTTAATGTTTTACATAGCTATACCTGCAAAAGGGGCCAGCATGAAGTAATCTAACAGGACTTCATTTTCTGACTAAAGTTCCACTTTAACCACTTGCCCTCCAGAGGATTTCCCCCCTTCCTGACCAGGCCATTTTTTGCGTTACGACGCTGCATTACTTTAACTGACAATTGCGTGGTCATGCAACCCTACACCCAAATGAAATTTATGTCCTTGTTTTCCCTCAAATAGAGTTTTCTTTCTGTGGTATTTGATCGCCTGTGCATTTTTTTTTGTACTATAAATAAAAAAAAGACTGACAATTTTGAGAAAAAAATTATTTTTGGCTTTTTGCTATTAACCAATTTTCAGCTTTCAGCGTTGTCGCACTTTGAATGATAATTGCGCGGTCATGTAACACTGTACCCATATGACATTTTTTAATCGCCGCTGGGTGTTTGTTTTTTTGTACTATGAACAAAAAAACTGCAAAAAAACGTGAAAAAAAAGTTTTTCTTTGTTTCTATTATAAAATTTTGCAAACAGGTAGTTTATTTCCTTCACTGATGTGCATTGATGAGGCTGCACTGATAGGAAGCACTGATGGGCACTGATATGCAGCAATGATGGGCACTGACGGGTGGCACTGACTGACGGCACTGACTGATGGCACTTCTGGGCACTGACTGATGGCACTGCTGGGCAGTACTGATGGGGGACACTGCTGGGCACTGGTGGCTGGCTCTGCTAGGCACTGCTGGGCACAGTTGGGTGGCACTGATGGGCACAGGTTGGTAGCACTGCTGGGCACAGGTGGGCGGCACTGGTTGGTGGCACTGCTGCGCACTGATCATCAGTCCCTATCTGTTTTCTGACAATTGCCGGTTATCAGCAGTACTTTCCTCATGTTGTGACACTGATAGGCAGCACTGATTTGCACTGACGGGTGTCACTGACTGGTGGCACTGCTGGGCACTGAGTGGTGGCACTGCTGGGTGGCACTGCTGGGCAGCACTGATGGATGGCACTGATGGGTGGCACTGATGGGCACAGGTGGGTGGCACTGATGGGCACAGGTTGGTGGCACTGGTGGGCGGCACTGGTGGGTGACACTGCTGCACACTGATCATCAGTGCTGATCTGTTTTCTAACAATTGCCGGTTGTCAACAGTACTTTCCTCACGCTGTGAGAGCATGAGGAAAGTGCAGCCGATAACTGGCAACTGCATTTACCCGGTGATCAGCGTGTCATTGGACACAGCTGATCATGTGGTAAAAGGCCGCTGTGATTGGCCTTTTACCACATCATGTGGTCATATGATGCCTTCCCAGAACTGGACAACCCGCGCTGTAGCCATCATTCGGCTATAGCGCGGTTGCCAAGTGCTTAAACATGTCCAGTGAAAAAAAAATTGAAATCAAATTTCTCAAAATTTAGGCCACAATGTATTCTGCTTTGTCTTATCACTTTACATGAAAGTTATAGCA